CACACTGTAGACGAAGAAAATTACTTTGAAATTGAAACTAATGCTAGTTACACGAGTTTAGCTGCGACGCTAAATCATGGAGACAGGGTCTGTTGCATTCTAGTCCAGAACTCTAACCCCTTGTGAACGAAACCATTCCCTAATAGAAAAAGAAGCTAACGCAATCGAATCAATCGGGTAATGGAGTCTATTTTAGGTGACTATTTTATTCTTGACATGGACCAAAAAGCTCTATCTTAAAATTTCGATAAGCATAAAGATTCGAAAACTTAAAATAATAAAATCCATCGCTGGCGAATTGAACGTTCTACTAATAAATATGGTATCAGATATCGACCGGGCATCAAAAACGTATGCCCAGATGCGTTAACGAGAGTACATTGCGCTTCAGTCGTAAATATCGACTTTAAGGAATTACATAATAATCTATGTCATCTTGGAGTATCAAGAGTGATGCATTTCATCAGCTCGAGAAATTTGCCCTACTCAAACAGAGGAAGTAAAGAGAATGACTGAAAAATGTAATATCTGTGCCGTAGAAAAGCCAAGATTTGTGAAAGAAAGAGGCAAATAAATCAAAGCTACTTAAACATTCGAAAGATTGAACATTGATTTCAAATCGAGGCGCAAACAAATATTTATTGACTATCATTGATGAATATAGTCGTTTCTCTTTCGCTTTTGCGTGTAGTGACATGCTCACTACAACTATATTGACTTGTTTAAATATATTATTTTACATATTTGGTTTGCTAAGTTATATACACTCTGATGGAGGACCTAGTTTTATGTCCGAGGAGCTTAGATATTTTTTCAAGATAAAGGAATAGCTACTAGTAGATCTACTGAGTACAACCGACGTGGAAACAGTCAAGTAGAGAGACTGAACGGAACTCTGTGGCGGACGATCAACTTAGCCTTAAAATCGAGAGGTTTACCTTTGCATCAATGGGAAACCGTTTTATCTGACGCTCTCCACTCGATTCGTTCCTTACTGTGTACAACGACGAATTGTACTCATTATGAACGGATGTTTTCTTATCCGAGAAAATCTACCACCGGAAAATCTGTTTCTTTGTGGTTGACAATTCCTGGGAAAGTGCTCATGAGAAACTACGTTCAGAACAACAAGTACGAACCTACTGTACGAACCTGAGCTGTTCACGAATCCCCGATGTTGTTGTCAGGTTATCAAATGGAAAAGAAAATTTCTGCTTCACGCGTTCCTCCGAGAGAACGACAATGTCGGCTGTTACCATAATCTCAAATAGTCCTAGGATACGGATTAAATAGCATCAAAATCAGAAGATAATAACACAAATTTGTCCAGTGATTCTACTGGGGTGGGGGGCTGTTTGACGTAACATATCCTCCAATCATCATTGCTATTGACGGGAAGAAGCTGATTCAAGCAAATCCCGTTTACGCTGTCCAAAATGGAAAAAGAAAGTTTCTGTTTCTCTACGTCACCTCGTTCCTGCCGACCGACAATAAATTTGAAGCAGTTACCATAATCTCAAATAGTCCTATACCGGATACGGATAGAAATAGCATACCAAAATCAGAAGATACTATAACACAACCAGTGTCCAGTGATTCTACTGGGGTGGGGGGCTGTTTGACTTAACATATCCTCTACCAATCATCATTGCTATTGTATGGGAAGTTGAGCTGATTCAAGCGAATCCCGTTTACGCTGTTGTCAGGTTACCAAATGGAAAAGAAAGTTTCTGTTTCTCTACGTCACCTCGTTCCTGCTGAGGAGAGAATGACAATCTCCGAATTTGAAGCAGTTACCATAATCTCAAATAGTCCTATACCGGATACGGATAGAAACAACATACCAAAATCAGAAGATACTATACCACAAACAGTGTCCTGTGATTCTACTGAAGTGGGGCTGGTTGACTTGACATATCCGCTACCAATCATCATTGCTATTGTATGGGAAGTTGAGCTGATTCAAGCGAATCCCGTTTACGCTGTTGTCAGGTTACCAAATGGAAAAGAAAGTTTCTGTTTCTCTACGTCACCTCGTTCCTGCTGAGGAGAGAATGACAATCTCCGAATTTGAAGCAGTTACCATAATCTCAAATAGTCCTATACCGGATACAGATGGAAAAAAACATACCAAAATCAGAAGATACTATACCACAACCAGTGTCTAGTGAATCTACTGAAGTGGGGCTGAACCAGGAACTGGTACTACCTTAGCCCAAACACTGCAAAAATGTCCCCCAACCCCAATCTTCTAAAGCGTTCTAAGCGTATCACCAAAAAATGTAAACGACTCGGTATTGAACACGAGAGAAAAATTTAATTAATTTGTTTTCAAAACTGCATTCCTTTTCTTTGGCCGAAATAAAATATTTCAAATTTACATTGTCAAAAAAAAGGTGGCGAGAGTGTTGTATTCATATGCAAATCTCTACCATGTAAATAGTAGTCGATACATAAATATAAAATAAAAAGCAAATGTTGATAAGATAGCATTGCCCAAGACCCCCACCCAGCCAGGTTTGCCCTCCGCCGGTCGGGGAACTCTGGGTTAGTACGCACAAGCCCTAAGTGTCCACATGAAAATTTAAGTTGCGGAAAGACATGAGTTTTTCCCGTCCTGGATATGACGATAAACTACACCCGGCAGCGGCAAAGTTTTTGATAAGAAAGGAACCACCTCTTAATTGCAGATGTTCCCTGGTTGATGCCTTTTAGGGTCACGGGTATAGGTAAATAGTCAACCCCCAAACTGAGGTCAAAACACGCTGAAAGTTTAAAAAATGTTATAGTATAAATACTATTTTCATATTTAAAAAAATTATCAGCGTTACAGTGTTGTAAAAAAATAAAAATTATCAGCAATCCATTACTGCAAGACAAAAATATAACCAGAAATACATTTTTGTAAATGAAATTACCAAAGCTCCCAACAAAATTAAATTACGGCATTAAATGACCCATAAGGAGTTGATATGCCGCTAAACAAGTATTGTTTTGCTTATATTTTATTGTGCATGTATATATATATATATATATATATATATATATATATATATATATATATTTCAATTAAAAGGTGCAATTATAATTTATAAATTCATGAATCATTCATACAAAAAACAAATATAGAGGTTAATGATTTAAATGGCGAGAATACATCATCGCAAACAATATAAATAAGATACACCAACCCCGAACCTGTATATGAATGATATGATCCCTGTTTATAAATTCCAGTTACATAAGGTCTTTTTAATTTTTTACAAGCTTTCGTCTGTTCCTACAGACATCCACAGGTATGGAAATAGATTTTGTTCTTGTTTTTACATGTCGGTAATAAGAGGACAACGAAAATATGTAATCCGAAAAAATGCTATGAGAAATGTGTTATTGTTTTGGAACGTGCGGTCGCAACACTGAGTTTGAATTTAAATTTTAAGGTTGTACGTTTTTGTACAAATATAGCAATAAGAGAATTCTTTTTTACTGGTAGATTTTCCGTCAATGTGGCATGAACTATATTGTTCAATAATTACAGTAATGTCACACTTACTATCCGAAAGTTGCACGTTGGATCAGTTATTTAATTTCAATTAAAAGGTGCAATTATAATTTATAAATTCATGAATCATTCATAAAAAAACAAATATAGTTAATGATTTAAATGGCGAGAATACATCATCGCAAACAATATTTGTAAACAGGGATCATATCATTCATATACAGGTTCGGGGTTGGTGTATCTTATTTATATTGTTTGCGATGAAGTATTCTCGCCATTTAAATCATTAACCTCTCTCTCTCTCTCTCTCTCTCTCTCTCTATATATATATATATATATATATATATATATATATAATGCTAAATCCTATAAGGATGGCTCTAGTCGTACCCCGAGCTATAGACTTTAACACTGATAAGCTTTTTTGGCTCGGTCTAGGCAATCTAGGCTTCGAGCACTTTACTGAGTAGGTAGATTTACTTTTATGCCGTTTTTTTTTTCTATCTTCAGCATTGTCGTTTCTGTTTGAGACTTTATCTGGATAAAAGTTTTAGGTTATGGCAAGTTGTCTTTTGGTTCTATCAACGGTTTTTATTTTCTTATATATTATATATATATATATATATATATATATATATATATATATATATAAGAGAGAGAGATGAACCCAATTATTTTCACCAGCGACATGTGGCAATAATGACTGTTTCTGTCGGATGTCAGGGTCAGAGTTATGTAATCAAGTAGATAGTCTTGAGCGAATTTGATTAAGTCCAAATTGTTATCAGACGAGAATATTTCCGAAACGGCACGTTCAGAGTGTAATTATTCGCAGTAGTGCATAGAGAGAGAGAGAGAGAGAGAGAGAGAAATCACCAAACATCCGACAACTCATTGGCTAGCAAAAGCTTATCGATGCAACAACTGAACGGAGCTCAACTCTGGCTCAAAATTGCAAGTAGTTTTAATCAAGAGGAATGAAAATATTGTTCTTAAAACTGATTCTTGTTGCATATAAGGCTATGACCCCGACAGATAGTCACAGTATCCATGCGAACCAATGTCTATCGCCGAAAGCGCATTCGATGATCACGTCAGAACTGGATAGAATGGAAGAATGCCGTCTGGTCCAATAAGTCCCGCTTTCCCTACTGAATAGGGTAAACAGCAAGATTACCCTGGATAAGCGATGAAAACAAGAAAAAGGTGTAACCGGTGTGACGTTTCATGATTGATTCGTTCTCTACGGCTTTCAGCTTATTTAAAGCCAGAAAACTTTTTTAGATTGTAAGGGTTTTTTTGGTTGGGGAGATGATAATGATTTAGAGATACAAGTCTTACTTATTAACCCATAGCTTGTGGGAAGAAGAGGTGAATTCATACTATTTCCAACGGTATTTGTGCATAAAGTGAATATAACAAACCCGACTGGAATTGGAACTCAGCATCTCTGATTCCCAATTCCGAGCCGTTATCTATTATGTCACGCACGTCAAAGCTTACAGCAATTGGTATTCCGAAGCGGTCATCTATCTAGGCACTACTAACCGGGCTTGACATTGCTTAACTTCGGTGATCGTACGGGAACTGTTGTTTCAACGTGATATGGTCGTAAGCCTGTGACCTTTCAAAGAAAGTTTTGATGAAATACTCTGGGTTCTATCATTCGTGAAAGAAAGCACTTCTTCGCGTACCATCTACCTGAGCACCAGTGAAGATATGCCCAGTGGGTCTTAAATTCTACGCGCCTTCTTTTCTCACTATAATTTTAGCTCTTTCTCTCTAATAAGGTGTACTGACACACATATTTATAGTTGTCATGGAGTGATTTGACAATGGAGGCTTGTATTTGTACTAAGTCGGTCCTAAAATAGGGTCGACGTACAAAATGTTAGGAACTTCATATAATAGGTATGACGCAGAGAAATCTAGTTGTGGTCGCTGTATTAGTATTCGACTAACTGTCGTCCGGCATCGACTGACTGACCAACTCACTGAGCGATTTACTCGTTACTCTTACTAATCTACTACTTACTTACCCAGATCAAACGGCAGTCAGGACAGCTTCCAATACTGAGAATATGCAAGGACTTAAAGATTCTTAAACTCCTGAACAAGCCGAAGGCCCAATCTAAACTCTCCACAGTAGCTAGTTTAAATATCGCCCGATAGGGCGGCTTTTAAGCTCGTATGCAATATAGGTGAACAATTCAACTAGAAAAATTGAAAATAAATACAATGTGACTAAATGCAAATTCGAGACATATCATAATAAATCATTCTATCTGAAATAGATCAACAATGGTTTGCCGCAATTTTTAACATCAAGTTGAGATTTTTCTTGTTAAAAAGTTGAATAGATTTATGGTTAACATGGATAAAAATAGTGAATTTTATATATTTTTTTCTAGACTTAGCATGACCAAAACAAATTCACGGATTTGGACAAAAAAAAGACCCCAGAATCCGCTTTTTTTTTCATCCTTTAATAGTCAGTTGTACTTAGTTTAATTTGTAACGTATATAAATGCAGGTAGAAAAAAAAAACTAAACAAATTTTGATAAGATAGCGAGGGTTACAAAACACTCTCTCGGGCGCCCAATCAGCTCCCCCGGTCTTGGTGGAGGTAGTATGCGCTGACCCTAAGTGCAGGGACTGTATTTATGCACCAATTTGAACTCTTTCTTTCGGTGTGTATAAAAGAAATGTACATATATATCATCACGATGTAAAAGCAAGGGTGCGCGGAGAGCTATTATTGGTGCGGAAAGTGAAATCGGTGAGTCGTGTTCAAATTCCAGTCGAGTCAGTTACAGTCACTTTTACACAAAGGCTCCTGGGAAATGCAAGGGTTATTTCCTCCGCCTCCACAAATGTAGGCCCTTATATAGCAAACTAGACTGGATAGTTGGTGTCTTTGTTGGTGACCAGTCGAAAAGAAAGATTACACTGTATTAAAAATCGTGGAGATGGCACCGAGAAACACTACACTAACTTTTGTAAGAAGTCATGACAATTCACAAATATTAAGAAAAAGGAAACTGTGGAGACTGGTGATCGTCAACGTCCTAAAATTAATGCCCGAAGAAATGAACCGGTAAAGTTCAAAATTGTCAGTGATTTAATTTTCGCAAAATTCTGTGATCGCCAGATACCGAAAAAAAAACCTGCCTCTTTTTTTTTTCAGAAATTTGTCCCATGTCTTGAAAAAGACTGCGAATGAATTTGTACATGATGATTGTATTTGTACAGCTAACTGAATGTTTTTAATTATTCGAATGATTTCATAAATAAGTTTAATGTTTTCTATGTAGGCTTATAATTTATTAAAACGTTTTTTTAAAAATGACAAAATAAAACACATCAGAATCAGAAAATGAAAAAATTAGAGAGAAGAAAAAGTAAAACATGGAATCCAGAAAAGAAATTGCGACAAGCTGAAATCAAAATATATTACACCGGGCAGGTCAGCCTGTTCCACATAAATATTTCCACCTGTTACAACTACCATTGATGCAATAATTAGTCTTACAAATTAACAACTGCTGCTTGTTTTAAAAATAATGAATAAAAGCTTTTCATTAATCATTTGACGCTTATTACATAACCTGTTTAAAAATGTTTTAACACCTGCTGTTCTGTTGAATATAACAGCAAAAGCTTTCGATTCAGACGATAACCAAAATTACAAAACTATTAATTATAATTTGACGAATTGTAGTCTTAAGCAGGGAACAAATCCAACTGCTATTAATTTTCTAATTTACGAAACATCAATTTTATAAAGTAGGAAAATATTAAGAAATTAATGACAAATAAAAATGACTTAAATGCATATTTACAACCCATCACCAAATGACTTATGAACCTTAAACTGATGATCGATCCCTAAATAACCTAGATAATTAATAACATACTATCCTTCACTATAGCGGTCACAAAAATACAATTAACAAGAAATAACCCCTGTTCCTGATTATAATTAATTTTTATTTTTTTAATCAATTCCCTCCAAGCAAGGCGATGAAGACATTAAGACAGAAGGAAGCTAACGGAAGTGAAAGAGAAAGAAAAAAAATTTAGAAGGAACCGGAAACCCAATCTTAAACAGGAAACAATGGATAAACCTCTACTCCTGTTCTAAAAAAAGACCAGGAAGGAGTGTGAACCAGGCGATAGGCGAACCTATCTACTCCTGTTGGTGGAGGAGAGAAAAAAATAAAATAAAACGAAATAAATAGTAAGAAAATAAAATTTCAGGGTACAGGCAAAGACGTTCGGAGTACAGAGCTGAATCAGTAGAAGCTGAAAACCAGTCCTAAACAGGAAACAAGGGATAAACCTCTACTCCTGTTCAAAAGACCTGACAGGAGTGTTAACCGGACTATAGGCGAACCTAAAATGTTCTATAAATATTTTCATAGTAATTGTTTTGATAAACTTTCCTCTTTAGTACCTCGAGTTTAGGGTCACATCTCGTGTTGTTTGTTGTAATTTCCGCAGTAAGCAGGCTTCTTCTTCTTCTGTCCCCACATGACGTTGGCGATCATGGCTCTCCACAATTTCCTGTTCTTCGTAGCTTTTAATAAATTTTGTCTTTTTGTTATCTCTCCTAAACTTTGCTCCGCCATCCGTTTACTCAAGCTCACTAAGTAGGTTATGCGTTGTTTTCCTCTCTCCCTCTTGCCTTCAGTCTGTCCTGTGAGTATCAAATTTTCCAATCCGTCTTTCCTCATTATGTGCCCTAGACATTTCAACTCTCTTTCCGATTCTGAGTATGCATGTCCTTTTTGTTTCCATTTTCTCTAAAACTTCGTCATTGTTCACATGTTCGGTCAATGGTATTCTCAGCAGCCTTCTGTAGAACCACATTTCTGTTGCTTCAAGTCACTTCTCCATCTGCAGGGAGATTGTGCAGCATTCAACGCCATATAGGAGGACTGATAACAGTTCCGTACTCTTTTTTTTTAAGTGGACTGGCATTACATATACTGCAGCCATAGCAACATCATTATCTCCGAGACAAGATGACCTAAAGGAAAACCATACCTCTTCTAGGTTGCTGTTGATTTTTGTTTTTGTTTTATTATTCTGGATTGCCCTTCTCTTTAGGCTAGTTGGCACCTCAAGACAGCAGTGCCCTGTCTGCCTCGCTATTTAACCTACAACTGGAGAAAGATAGATTCGTGCCTTCTTCACGTAAACAAAGCAGAATCGACCAGGAATTGAACTCAGTTTGCTGAATTCGCTTTCCGTACTGAGATAAATTATCCGCGAGGCCATTTTAATTTTCTTGCTCGCTGATAAGTCAATAACGGACATAAGCAAAAAGAAGTAACTGCTTGTGTCAGACGTCAGTGCATACGTCACCACAAGCAGTCGGACTGTAGTTAGTTTAGCAACAGAGCTAATTAAAGAAATATAAGATAGTAGTCTACTACTACTACTACTAGTAGTAGTAGTAGTAGTGTAAGCAGTTGTGTGACGATTTATGACTTTAGTTCTTCATTCAGTAATTACGTTGTTTAACAGGTGTCTAAAAAGTAGGTCTTATTCGTTGTGCGGAACAAACTTTGACACAAGGCTAGATTCCTCGCAGAACAAACACGTGACTAACAACTTTCGAGATTAGAGCCAGTAATCTCCAGCTGAATTTCAGGATTAGATATTTCTGAGATTAAACTAAATTTGGTACAAAGTTCTATCGATAGTGCAACGGGCTAGAAAGAAAATTATTCTCAAAATGTTGCGTTCAGGGTGGATTTTTCGTGTTTTTTTTTTCTTTCATTTTTGCTTCTTTTTTCTTTTTAGGGGGTTATATTGTCGATTTTAGCATTTCAAACACTGATTTATTTGCAGGTAGATCCAACCTTGGGATTGCTTCTTTATAAAATAAATAAACAGTGCCAACTCTCGTTTATATATTTTTATCTAAAAAAATGGATACAGTAGGTTTTAGCGTCTCAAACGATTTTTACATAACAAACACTGATTCTTCCATACATCGTACTTAAACTACTTGAACGAAACTCATATTATGAGCTTTCCTTTCGGCATGAAATGTCATGCATCCTAAATTAAACAAAATTATCTTCCGAAATACAAGAGGTAATTTATTTCAATTATTTTTTTTCTGTTAAATTAAAAATGAAATTTTCTTCAACATTTGTGACCCAGAATTCTCAGAATTTGGGAAGCAAAAGTAAGTAAAATAAAAATAGCGTCAGACCTATCGGCACCAGAACTAAAACAAAAAATGTTGTAAGCAAAATAAATTGGCGTTTGAAATGCTAAAACAGACAGTATCCCCACCACCAAAATAATCTGCTACTTTTGAATATATTAAAACATTTAATCTCAAAAGCTGTTTGTCGCGTGTTCGTTCTTTAAGAAATCTGCTCTTGTGTCAAAGTTTGTTCCGCACGATAAATATGGTGATTATTTCCACGATATTACGTCAAGATACAATTCCAAGTTTATGGAAGGTAAGTGCTCAAATGAACAGGGCGACAGTTTATAGAAGATAAGTGGCGACAGATTTTGAGGAGAAAGAAAACCAACAGTTTAAATAGAAAAATAGAAAGAAACAAGGAAAAAAGAAGTGGTTGCAGAGA